CATGAGTGCTCGTGAGCCGGCTCGACTCGAGCTCAAGCCGACCAAGTCGAGTTTGAACTTGAGCACAGGGAAACTCAGCTCATTAGCTCGTGAGCTGCTCGATTATTTATATGTATGTGTTTGTGTGTGTGTGTATTATTTTTTATTTTAATAGTGAAATTATACATACCTAATATTTTATTATTTGTTAAGGAAAATTACTATTTTATTCATTTTTTAAAAAATAAAATAGTTATTTTTTTTTCAAGCTCGAGTTTGTCTCTCTCAATGTAAAGCTCGAGCTCGAGCTCGGTAAAATTGAGTTGAGGCTCGATTCAATTAGGTCAAAACTCAACTTGATTCGACTCGTTTGCAGTCCCACTTGTTATATAGCATGACCATAAGAAAAACATTTAACTTTCCTGTTTGGGGTTAGAAACATGTACGATTTCTGTTAACTATTGCGGTCATATTTTTGAATTTATGAAGTACTCATAATTCTTGTAAGCAGAATTTGAATTGTTAAGAAGTTTTTTGACATGTAAGGTTACTGTTAAAGCTCAGATTTATTACTTAAGGACTTACACAGATGTTTAACAAAGTGAATCAGTTGGTTCTAGAAGGCTATGGAATCTGAAGCAGCACTTCTGACTGGTTTTGGTTTGGTTTTGAGCATGTATGTAATTATACTTGCTTTTGAAAATATTACATTGCAATCACAGTTGCAGTAACTTCTTGGTGGGGGTTTGCTAGTTTCATAAGTAATGAAGATTACCCTGAATGATCTCATAGACTTTTGCTTAGGGTTGGTGCAGAATGATCTCATAGACTTTTGCATAGGGTTGGTGCAACTTATCCAACTAGGAGAAATACGCGTTTGGTGGGTATTAAACTTTTCCGATTGAATTGGAGGTAAATTTAGCACAGGGTGATCTGTATGAACTGGTTTTTGTGTTTGGATAATGTTCAACTCCGATCACAACCTTGAGCATTTGCTGACATTAGGTGTATCATTCCCATAGTTCTGAAGGTAGCATTAATTCTTTGACTTGAGTCAAATTTTCATAAATATGAATGCATTATTTTCATGAGACTAAAATGTAGAATCATTATTCCCTTTGCTGTGCTTAATTATTGTTCCCTTTGTGGGAGTTATCTGCAACAATAATCCTTGTTGTATTCTTCTTTCTATGGGAGTTATATGCCATAATAATCATTCTTGAACTGTTCCTTTTTTGATAAGTTGGTTAGAGTATTTTGATGGAATTAAAATATTGATATGTTCCTTGACGTCAATCGTGTTTTGACTTTGCAGATAAATAGGAAAATGGAGTTTGTATTTGCCAGTCACAGCTTTGATGTGTGGGAGAGCTGGACGTTTGAAGGTTCATTGGAGGAATGTAGGCTGGTAAATTGCAGAAATCCATTGGTGAGTTGCCTACTCAACTTGCTATGAACTAGTTGATGATTCTCTGAATGTATAGTTGAAAAATGGTTGAGACTGAAGCATCTGCATTTGGAGTATATACATCATTTAACAATCTCTTGTTTTCTTGCTTTTATGTGCATATTAAATCTGCAGATTGTCCAATATGCTAGTTTAAGCTGTATTTACTAACCACATAGCATCCACCCTGTGATCTTTTCCCTCATTAACATGGCTGCCTCAAAAATATATATAAATAATAAGGTTGCATCTCCTTTTTTACTTTTGAATTTGCAAAATTCACTTGTAACAGCGGCAGGAAATGTCTAGACTTTGATGGTAGTTAAAGAATGCAAATACTCAGCAGATCTGTTGACAAGATTTGGTAACCTCAGTGATGAGTAAGATTGGTTTTGCAATGTTCTAAAGTTTCGAAGCCAGGATTGTTCTTGTTTCTCTCAGAATAGACCTAGAGTTGATGCATCCCACAATTTTCAAAGTCAATATAAATGGGCTTGGAAGTCTTTATCTAAGAGAAAGAATTTAAGTGACCTTGTAGTTTTATTGAGTTTCATCACCAATGGAAGATAAGAAATACCATATCTACTTTTGAGAAGGGGTAGTTCTTCATAAATTATACATTTGGATGAACTCAGTTTCAGCATGACAACTAATTATTCAAATAAATGGGGAAGTCTACTACTATTTGTGGAAAATCAAGTTCCAATTTATCTTTGAGTTGAGCCTCATTTCTCTCTGCTGTACAATGTTCTTTGTTGAGTTATTATTCCAAGGCCTTAATGCTTAATCAAACTAGATAGGAAACGGTAGAAAGTAAACTAGGAAATGAGAATCTATAGGAGATAGGCTCCAATGATCATTGGGTCACTTCTTGGAGTTAATTTTCATGGATTATTAATTATGACATGGGAATCACATGTTGGCTTCATCAAGGAAAGTGACAACTCTAAGCCTGCTTTGGTTTCTTCATTTAGTAGCAGCCTACAACTATAAGGCTCCCCTCTCTGTGGCCTGTCTGTGTGATTGGTTGTGCATTTCTGCATGAGAGAGATTGATCCATTATCGATCCTACATATGACTTGCAGGCTGTTTTGGATGTACATATTGAAATTCTTGCGGCTGTAGGAGAAGATGGTATCACACGGTGGCTAGATTAGGTGGTGAAATGGGAATGTTAAGCACTCTTCAAACACAAGATAATTTCTTTGTACCACATTTTGTGACGCTTCTGAAGTGCTTGCGAGTTGTAAAGCATTCAATTTTTACACTTAGATCAGAGTTGCAAGGGTTTGTACCGTATGGTTAGTGAGCTTGAAAATGGAAAATGTTGTTCATTAGGAAATGTCCATTGTTCACCAAAAATTCTGGTATTTATTGCTGTATTGGTGCCCAGACTGTTGCACGAGCACTTCCTTTTTGAAGTGTGAACTTGAGCTGAGGTGGAATTTGGTGGCATGTGCTGTTTTTGCTGTATCATAGCCTGTATCATAGCTTGTATCTGTTTTATTTTGTTCATTAGTGAATTTTCTGCACCTGTTCTTTTCTCGTCCATCCTTTTTGGCCAGTTGCACCTGTTATTTCATCTCAGAGCAAAAGGCGTTTCTGTGGGGAAGAGAAGTGGATGGTCCACATGGCTTGTAACAGAAGCAAGGAATTATATGCTCGTTACCGAAGGTCCACACTTAATGGCCTCATGATGTCTGTCACTCGGTAATGGACTCAATGATTGTATCAGTTGGTTGGTAAAGCATTTAGCATCGTAAACCAGCTAGGTGAGCAGCAAGCAGACCCCATTGAAAATTGGATATAGATTTTAGTAGCTATATATAGCCAATTGAAATGCTTGTGAGGAACCCGAGTTTCTGCGGTTTCTTCTGAGAACTGTCTGCTCGGAGTGGGGCGATGTGTTGGTGCATTGCACATTGAGGCCAAGAATACTATGCAATGCTAATTTCCAGCCAAGAATAAGATGCAATTTATCAAATTCTATGCAAAAGGGAACTTTAGATACGCCCAACGTCCCAAATGGGTCATGTTGTCTTGTGTGTGAATTGTGATACGGCATGTCCATTAGCTTTCCTCCCAAAGTCCGGAAGAAGCGCTGTTTTCAGCGTCCGGGAATTGTATCCTGTTATTGTTTTGTATCTCAGAATGGGGGGCATAAATAAAGATAAAGGGGCTAATCTCTTCAAACGAGGCACAGAACTCAACCCCTCCTACTCCTGGATGTGGCTCAGTCAAGTCTTCAGGATGTAAAATCAGCAACGTTAATAGTGGCAGATCATTATTGTATGGGGCAAAATCCTTGTTGCAAAACAACAAGCTCTGTAACGTTTTGATTGGGCAAAAGTGAAGACATCCTTGCTGTAACACGCAAGGTAAAATATTACTATTGTAATCCTGTTGTGTTTGAATCATATTGAGCCATAACCCAATTATGATTGGGGGATTGAGTATCAAAATTTACTGTCTTTGGCAGAGATTTACCCGTTTACACTACTATGGACCATGCTAGAATATTCAACTCTTAAGGCAAATTTTTAACTTGGATTACTCTCGGGTATCGTCTTGTTTGCCTCCTTGGAGGTTACCAAAACCATTTCTTCTTTCTAGCACACCCCAATATGGGCAGGTTGGATTCTCTAGGTAAACGCCTGATTTAGTACTTTCTGCTCTGTCACGAAACTAGTGATATTAAACCAGCATCATTGTATCGAATATGGGCGAGCGTGGTTTTCGTCTTTCGGTTTTTTTAAGGTATAGTTTTCCAACTGTCAAGTTTCAAACAAAATGATAAGGTGATTGTCTCTATCCAAGCAATTCAATGAGGTAAGCATTCGAATGTTATTTTAAAAAGTTGAAAATAAAAAAAAGGTAACTATTTGAATTAGTTGCATCTTTTATTCTTTTTACTTTCTAAAATTGGTTTGGGTATTTTTGAGAAGAAACATTTGATCTGGTAAACTTGTATTTTTGCCAGCTTACTAGCATTATGAGCAAATATCTATGCACAAAAAGGAAAAAAAAAAAAGGACTTAATTGGCATGTTATAGTTATTCATAGTTGTCAAAGATATTTATTTAAGTTATCAAATCATGATAGAGATATTTAACTATCTGTAAACACGTTTAAACGGTGATAAGCTGTCAAAGAGGAAAATTAAAAATTAAAAAGAGAGAGAGGGAGAGAGAGAGAGAGAAATATATTCTTTTTTTTAAAAAGCTATGCTTTTAAAATTTTTTTCCTCATTTTGACGAAATGAATAATAAATGAGAGGGAAAAAATGGAAAAAGAAGGAATTTTTAGTACTAATTTTTTCCAAGGAAAATATTTGGATGCGCAGTAGTCATGCATTGCAACTACCCAATTGAAAATTCGTTTAACGGTACAAGTTTAAAAGTGGTCCAAGTCCTTCTGCGGAAATCAGGCCAAGCAGATGTTGACACAGAAGGCCCCCATACTTAAACCCATCACTCGTTGGAATCCACGTGGACGGTTGAAGATCCACTTGTTCCTTCCCCTCCAAAGTCGGTTACGTCATACTTATTTAAACCCGACCACGCTTTGGCCCCATTCTCCTCCTCCTCACTCTGACCATCCAAAACAACACACACAACACACACTATGTCACGCTCTGAACACCAAACCAAAAACTAAAACCCAAAGAGCAAAAGAATATTTTGTTCTTTTCTTTTTTACCATTTCTGAAAATTTTGCTTGTATATTCGGTTTACATATATGGTTTCGGTTTATCCAACTCCACCTGCGGCTCACCAGCAAGATTTTTACTATTTCCCGGGCATGGGGGATCCGATGAAAGTGGGTCTTCCTGGTCTGCATTCCCTGCAACCGCCGACAAATGTTACTGGTACAACCGGCACCGGTAACGTGATTGATTCTGGCACCGGTGTGGTTTCGGAGGATCCAAATAAGAAGGTCCGGAAGCCGTATACCATCACCAAGTCTAGAGAGAGCTGGACTGACCAAGAGCATGACAAGTTTCTAGAAGCTCTTCAACTGTAAGTAATTGTATTTTAGGTGATAGATAATATGCCTCTGTTTCTTTGTATTATTCTGGGTTGGAAAGGTTTGGTTTTTTTATTTGAAAATAGTAGGATTAAATTTAGTGAATTTTTTGTTGTAATTCGAGTGCTTTTTAGTTGAATTTGGGATGGAAGTGAGGGTGTGTAATTAGGGTTTTTTGGATTGAGGGATAATTTTGTTTTTAATTTTTTTGGTCTTTAAGTTGGATTTCTATCTTTATTTTTGGTAATTGCATGGAGGGTTTGGGGATTCTTTTAGTTGTTGATGTAATAGCTGAGGTCATTGTAGAAGGTACTTTATGGATTCAAGGCTTTGGATTGAGTAAGAAAAATGATGCCTTTTGTATAAGGATCAGAAGTACGATGAGCACTATATAAGGTGGTTCAAGATCTTTATTGCATATACATGGGTTAACATAATAAACAGTATTATTTTTAAAGTTAAAATTTTCTATTTCCCAGACTGAGATTATCTTTTGATACCTTTCACTTTTCTGATTTACCTGTTACTTTTAGATTTGACCGGGACTGGAAAAAGATTGAAGCTTTTGTTGGGTCAAAAACAGTTATCCAGGTAACTGCATGTCGATACTCAAATTTCTCATGCCATTTAATGTTGCTTGATATTGACTTGGTATTTTGACTAGTCATTCATTGAAAACTATCCAAGGGAAAAATTTCTTATATCCATATTCTGGTTTTTCGTCTGGGATAAATTTTGTCTCTCCTTTGTATTGCGTGAAGATTTATACTGAAGTTAAGGTTTCTTTTTCCTTTGTTATTTTCTGTTGAGGTTTATAAGCAGGGGAAAAACCTACACTTGGTGCACAAGTACCTGGCCAACTGTGTGGCACGTGAGGGGTTGATACTGGAGTTGTTTTAGTTAACACGCGCTTCACGTGCTGTGTCATTGACCTGGTGCCTGTGAACCTGGTGTAGGTAAGTTTTTCCCATAAGCATGAAATGGTTTTATCCCTCAGGGTTAGGCATTGACTCAGGTTGAGAATTCAGAAAAAAAAAAAAACTGTCTTCAATTCTATTCCTCATTTGTTCAACGCTATGGAGATGCTCGGAACATGTCATTAGTTGTATCTACTGAAGATTGAAAACTTTTAGTTTGATGAACCTTTCATTTATTGTGACTACTTTGTCTTGTGATTTGATGGCATCTGTTTGCATGTTCGGATGTTTATAGTATTATGGCGCATTACCTTTTTCTGTTTTATAAGTTGATCTGTTTCATTATTCTGAACCTACTTTTGTGAAAATGTTGCTTTATATCTGGAGAACCTGTTACATTTGTTGTGATTCATTATTTTTGTGGTTTAGTTCTCTAGACGAAGTCTTGCTTGTATATCATTCTGCCTGAATGATTCTATGGTTGCTGCTAATGAACTTGTTGGGTTGTGATTTAAATGTTGGTACTCATTTTCCTGGGGGTTATATCTTTTTCTCCAGTCCATGTAGCATATTTTTCTCTTTTTTTCCCCCCCTCCAACAATTAGATTTTTTCAGATTTTCTTCAATATGCTTCTATCTGCTTTATTCCAGATGCTAAAATGTGATTCTTGCAGATACGTAGCCATGCACAAAAATACTTTTTAAAGGTGCAAAAAAGTGGGACAAGCGAACATGTGCCTCCTCCTCGGCCAAAGAGGAAAGCATCACATCCATACCCGCAAAAAGCCCCAAAAACTGGTTGGAATTATCTATTATAGACCTTGCCATCTTATGAGACTTTTTATTATATTATTATTATTATACTAACATGCCTGCCTGCCTGCTGCAGCTGGACCCCAGGTTACTGGGCAATTGCATTCCTCCTCTGCGTTGGTTGAACCGAAGTACGTTATGAGGCCTGATTCCTTGTCAGTTCCTGGCAATTCAGTAAGCAACCCTGTTGTGTCTCCTTGGACATACAATACGGTACCAACAGCAAATACGTTATACCTGACGAAAGGTTTGTTTATCTTTTCTGACCTCTGTATGATACCGGTTCCCTTTGTTTTTACCGGTTCTGGTAGATTTTGGAATTGATAACTTCATTGCTTCTTGATTAATATAAAGTATGTTTCCTTTATCAGATAAAGATATGGGCTTAGCTGGTGCTACAATCACACACAATTATAGCAGCAGCAGCAATGAAAGCACTCCAAGGATTTGGCCTATCAATGAGACAAGTGATCAAGTAAAGGAGAAAGATAACAAGCCAGCCAGAGGTTTGTATTTTCTTGAAACAAGTTAATTTGGTTAAAACACCTTTATGATCATTATTCCGTGATCAAGTGGTAATTAAAGACTAAAATATATCATCTCTATGGTCTCTCAAACATTTTGCATGTTTAAAGAGATTGCAGAGTTACCATACCATGTTGAAGTGAGTGGAAAGAAAGGTAAAATATGAGAATTTTTTGGTTTCAAATTTTAGTTTATTTGGTTGCCACAGTAAGAGTCTGATTGATTGAGCCCATATCTTCCAATTTAAGATTTGATGGAATACTGCAAAAGCTAGTTTCAAACTCTGATAAGTCCGTTGTATTGGAAATTTGGGATCAAGGGATGCGAAAAGTTTACAAAGGAAACGGAATGGTTGGGTTAAGTTTTCTCCTTGTCACACATACACAATATATTTGCTAATTAATAATACAAGAAAAGGTTAATGCATTTTGCTTCCTGCAATAATGATGTCATATACTGCAAGTCAGTGGTGTTTGATTATCCTGTACTGTATGAATGTACGTCCATCTCTCTATCTCCCCGATAAATAATGTGTATCTTCTTTGTTGAAAGTCAACAAATGACAATTTCTGAATTTTGGAGGGAAACAGTTGAGTTCTTCTTTGCTTCTCAGTTGAAGTCTGTCTTGACCTTTTCTGGTCTTGTATGTGTGTATTGAATGGGAATCTGAGATTCACCTGTTGCCTTGATTGTACCGTTTTCTGTCTCGCATTTCATTTTTTCTTGAATTTTTTCCTTTTATGGATATTATTCTACTTCGTGTGTCTTGTTTTTGATAGCATGTTTAAGTTTCATCAGATGTCATTCTCAAATATGCTACAGTATTGATGTCTTTGTTGTTGGGAACAGTAATACCGGATTTTGCTCAAGTGTATAGCTTCATTGGTAGCATCTTTGATCCCAATGCAAGTGATCATTTGCTGAGACTAAGGAAGATGGACCCAATTAATATGGAGACGGTATGTCACCCTAAAGCCATTATTTTTTCTGGAATTTTGTTTATGATAAGATGAAGGAATGCCAAAAACAGTTATTTTGAGTCTAAAGAAGATGGACCCTGTAAATGCCTGGATGGTAGGAGATAATTAGAGCTTAGCTGCTGTAACTCTCATTTGGCTGTAATGGTTTGTAAAGTTAAAAACATTTGATAGGCTTTTTTCCCTGCTTTATCGGGTTTTTTACTTTGTTCGTCTTAGTTATCTGTGGTGGGTATCCTGTGAGCTATCATGAGCAGGGGCACTTGCCCTTTCTCATTGAAGTATGTATGTCTATCATACATATCTCCATAGTTACCAAAATTGAGTATCAACTTATCATATGTCGGATTTAGTTTTGTAACAAAGGTGGGGCCTTCAATGTCAGGGTCAAAGATCATTATTTGGTCTTCTCTTCTGTTCATGCTGGCTTTTTGCACATATTGGTTTCACCTCTATTGAAATGACCTTCTTAGAAAAGATCTCTGGATAATGCCTATGTGCAATAGAAAGTTAGTTATTTCCTGCAGTATTAGACAACTAATGATATTGCTTGTGTTCTGTGCTAGTCAATGGATAAGTACAAAGTTCTTTTACTCATACTGATGAGCCTGCTCAAACTTGTTTTATATGAGTGTAAGACTTGCTTCAAGATTCAAGACCTACATGTGGAGTTTAAAGCCTGTAGAACTGACTTGAGGTCGAAATGTAGAACATACACAGAAACAGCCATGTATAGATCCAAAGTTCCTGTTTTCCTACTTTTCCTTTTCTTTAAATCAGTGCACTCTTGCCCTTAGTTTTCAAATTAATTGTGGAGATCCTTGCTAATACATGATGTGATAGAAGTTTTTAGTTGATGTCTTGCTACTGTTCCTTGTTTGATGTCTGGAATTCCTTCTTCTCTTGCCCAGCATTAGCTGTTTGGGTACAGGATTTACTATTAAAAAAATTGTTTGCACCCATTCAAGCACATTGCATGCTCATTTTGTATGTTGCATTTCTCAGTAACCTTCATGGTAACATAGATGCCATTTAGCTTAGTTTATCCTTATCTTGCTTGCTTTGGTGTAAACTGGCAATTTATAAGGGTTTTGTTCTGTGTTTTATGCAGGTGCTGATGCTGATGAAGAACCTTTCTGTCAATTTAGTGAGCCCTGAATTTGAGGATCATGTAAGCTTTTCAGTATTCCTAGCTTTTGAGTCTTTTTCTCCATTGTCAATCTTCTGTTTACTGTAAGTTACATGATAACAGCAGCTTCATCTACATATTAGAAAGAAGACTTAACTGGCATCAGTTTTTTACTGTAGATTGACCTACTTGTATTCTGTGATCTTCTTCAATGCCAATTATGTTTTCAGTATGACAATAAATGCTTATGGTTGTATAGGATGTAATCCATTCACTGTTGGGCTTTCACTTGTAATCCAATATGATCTCGGTTGTGTGCTGAACAATCTTGTGATCCTCCAGTCATGTAATGGTACCTAATCAGGATAGATCTAAATTTTGCATGATTACCAGGACTTATTCAGTTATTCAGTTTTTTCCCTCAGTTTGTCAACTTTGCTTTTGCATCACTATTCAGCATAAGCTGATGTAAAATTCATGATTCTTACATGATTTTGATTCTTTCACATCTTCTGTTCTCTGTTCAACTTCTTGGGATACTTTTGGTCTGAGTTTGTCATTACAAAAGCTAGCGATGTAAAAACTATATTTGGATCTAGGTAAACTTTACTAATGGTTTCCCTGGGTAACATATGGTAGTGCAGTTGTTGTTTAGTAGCCCTAATAGAATGCTGTTTTGTTGTGTATTTTCCGAGTTGGCAAGCAATGCAAGCAATAACCTACTGGCTTCTCTTGTTTGCTGGAGAAAAATATTGAGTACCCTCTTCGGAATGGATAACATTGTTATTTGATGTATGATTTTATTTTTAAATCTTTTTTTCTCCATTTTCCTTTGATTTCATTCTCTATTTTGGGGTTTTTGGTTTGGGGAAGAGAGAGAGAGAGAGAGAAAGGGGGGGGGGGGTTGATGTGAGGGTAGACAAGGTGAGTGTTGGAGGAGTTGGATATGTTGACTTTCCTGCAGCCGCAGAACTTTGTGGAGAGCTGATGTATTTTGAGAAAACAGTTGGGTTGCGTAACTCTTCATAGTCCTCAAGTCTGTTTGGATGGTTTTCTTCTGTTCCAAGACATGTTATTTACTTGCTTGACAATGCTCTGTTCTTTCGAATCTTTATGCCCTAATACTTTTCTCGTCGGTTGGTGCAGAGGAGATTAATTGCCTCATCTGGGCGGGGTACAGAAGAATATAAACAGAAAGCGCCCAACAAAATGATCCCAGCTTAGAAGCTAGAGCACATGGTTTGATCTTTGTGATAGGTTTGAAGGTGGGAAGTGCTAATGTGTCCTTTAGTTCTTTTTTCCGTTCACTAGCTTGGAAGTCTCTGCTGATTTAGTTATTTACAATGGATTATCAGCTAGGTTATGTGGTTGAAGCTGTGGGCTATGATTGCAACAGTTCATATTATATGCCCTTGTGTGATATTCTATGTTTGTTGCATGGACTTTCAAATGTCCGTGTCTGTCCAATGTACGCACGTTAGGTCACATGTTTTTGGTGGCATTCGGAGATGGAGTTCCTGTAACAAGCCAGCTTATATAGGTTTCTTTCCAGCCACGCCGTTCTGGATGGCTGATGCTGGCTTTGGTTTCTCGCTCTGTGTTTACTTTTGGTGGGCATGGGCTGTCGCCTGTTGGCTGGGGTGGAAGGCGGATGACAGTTTTGATTCTCTTGCTTTTAAGAAGTTTTGCTGCTACCAAATGTTAGATGGAATCACTATGTATAGCAATTATGTATATATGTACACATGTTTAAATTTCTGTTAGTCATCTCATGATTATTTCTTATTCTACGCTGGCAGAGTATTTAGTAATCTATCAAGTCCCTCCGTTCTTGGAAAATGTCATGAACATCATTTGCGCATCCGACGAACATCTAATTTCTGAGTTAAGAGACTTTGGACGCGAATCAAATTCAATGGTCAACTCCCCAATTCAGTAGGAGTCTTTCTACTGATTAAAGGAAATTGTTCAAAAAGATGAGTTCCATGGGGTAGATTGCAATTCCTCAGCCTGAAGTCTCTACCACAAGATTGTTAAGCGTCAATCTGATAGTCAAGTGAGGGAAGACCCACGTTTTCATTCGGTGATTTTAAGAGCGGTCAAGTCTTGACATAAACCGTTAAATTCACCAAACACTACTGAATATTGTGTTCAGATCATGCCAGGCAGGGTAAGACGGGATTTATAATAGGGTTTGGGAATCCGAGAACACAGGTGAGTTGTGGTGCAAAAAGAAGAATCTTAAATAATTGGGATGCAAAAACCGGTAGCTCAAAACTCAAAACGTTGGCTGATTCAACTTCTACTGGGCTCAGACTTGTCTCAGGGGGGCTCATTTTGGAACACTGGCAGATGCAGTAATAAAGATGCTCGAGCCCACGTTAAGCCCCTCAATATCCACTAAACTCTAAGAGTCAGTCTCTTGACTGAGTTCAGACGCGCCTTTAGTTGTCGCAAATGCAGTGGCTGACATAACAGAGAGATATTAACAAATATACCAAGTTATGAAGAAACCCAGGGAAAAAATAACAAAAACAAAAAAAAAAGGACAAAGAAAAATAGATTGCTAGTGAAACTACAAAGATCCTGCACACAAAATACTGGAAGGACATTACAGATTTTGCTTTTCCCCTCATTTTTGAATGCCAATTTCAAAGGATCAAATGCAAAGAAGCCCAACTTGATTGCACATAAATGACATTTATCCCCAATTCAGCATGTACCAGTCACAGCTGGAGCCAAGATGATGGACAAATAGCAAGCCAGATCATATTCACGATCGACTACCTATAGCGGAAACCCATGTCAAGCTCATGACCGTACATAGCCTGGCTATGACCAACAGCAAAAGGAGGGATCTGCTTTGATTTAGCCCTAAGTTCCATTTCAACCAACCTTTGAAAAGCCTCTGGGTGATTGCTACCACCGTTGACATCAGGAGCTAATGCATCCAAAAGAAACACAAAATCAACCTTCTATTTATATAGAAACCATGAAAACTAGCACTAGCTTACCATTCATACCAGATAAACAGATCAGCAAGCTTTCTAATTCAGTTGATCAAGAAAGCGAATGTAAGAAGACACATTTTGAGTGACTACCAATGCTGAGCTATGAAATTGTTCCTATAGCACAACTGGTAAAAAGCATACCATAAAGTCATACACCAAAGTCAACTTGGACCATGTTTCCCTAGGAACATTTGGAATACTTTATGGTGTCTTCAGCTTAAGTTCTTTCTTTTCTTCTTCTTCTTCATTTTTTGTTTTTAAGTTTGAATAAGCCATTTGAAAAAGCAGAAGTGCATTTCTATTTTTAAAGGTGTGGACATCTTAAAGTATAAATCAGCTGTTTCAAAAATTAAAAATAAGTTTTCGTTTTCACAGTTTTTGAACATCTAAAAGCTGTTTCCAGAAGCATCTTGAGGGCTGATTTTTTAAAATCAACTTTTAAGCTTAAAGTTGAAAGGCTCAGATATGATCATAGGTAGGCCTTGGATCACAATAAACTGCCTCAGAAAAACAGAACATAAGATAAGGAAAGTTACATAGGAGCCAGGAGCAACAGTGATATCTTCGATATAAAGAATGCAGGATGCTCATCATCAACATGGATCCTTCATCATTCACAGAAGCAAGTGCATTAAAAGCATATAGACTTTTAACTTGTGAATGTGGGAGGAGAAACACACACACCCAAAAAAAAAAAAAAAAGCAAAAGGCTTCTCTACCTGGAAATGGCATTCCAAGGCCACCAATGTTGGGCTGACGGGGCCCAAAAGGATATCCTGGCATTGGGTTGAGTTCCTGCAATAAACCAGGTGCTTGATTACCAAGATGAGGGGCTGGGGCACCCCTTGAAAAGTCGTTTTCCATGTGTGGAGACAGACCACCTGCCATCTGCATTTGCTGCAGCATTGCATGATGCGCAGGATGATCAAACCCAGTCACACCCACACTAGGCTGATAGAAGGGAGGACGAAGCATATTTACAGGAAATTGCTGATTGGCAGGAGCATCATGCTGAATCATGCTCTCCCTACCAATGAACTTCATTTGGGAATTCATGTGAGCAGGATGAGAATCCAGCGGGTTGAGCAATGGCCTCTCATGACTCATCTGCATTGAATGAAAGTGGGAAGCTGATGTTTGAACATGAAAATCACGATACGGAATTTCGTGTTCCATCTGGTTAATAGGACCATGTAAAAAGGGCGGCCCATCTGAACCAGTCATGGACCTCTCATCTTTGACTGCAGCACCAATTGCTGCCAGTTTCTCTGCCATATCGCCTGGTGCAGTCAAGGCTGAGGATTCTTTTTTACTTGAAAATTTGCCAGGCATTGACCTAAAAAGTCGAGCATTTAGATCTTCACTGACAGCAATTAAGCTTTCCTCTTCAGGCAGCTGGTATTCAACTGATCCATCGAAGCCAACATGTTTCGAAACAAGTTCATATTGTTGCTTTGATAAGTTCAACTCGGTTTGAGGATCGTTTAATCCCAGCCATTTTTCAGTTTTATCCATCTTTATTTGCTGCCTGTGACTTGACACCAACAAATTCTTTTCATCAGTCATCTTATCCAGTCCTATTTGATCAAATGTCGTAGGAAATAAACCATTATCAGTAATAGGAAAGGATAGTCCTTGCGGTTCCAAAGATTCAGTTTGTGCAGAACCAACAGAACCCCTTTGGACAGAAACAGGTGCTTCGACTGATTTGAGCTCCTTCATAAAAGCAGTCCCAAAAAGAGTTTCGAGAGTAAGTGTTTCTCCCAAAGTGCTACTATTCTTGCCAACTTTCTCCCCAGTCTTGTAGGGGGCAGGACCAACATCACAAACATCAGAAACAGGTTGTATTTCTGAAGGATCAATATCTGCGGGAATGCTCGGTGTTGCATTTTTCTGGCTGGCTCCCTTTTGTAACAGTGAAAGGAGGTGTTGAGATGCATGATTATCAACATGTGCTGTAGGTCGTCCAGACTTTGCACCAGAAAAACTCCAGCCTTCCAAAGGTGGTAATGAAGTTGGACTCTTCTCACCATATTCTGACAAAATTGTCTGCTCAAGGTCTTCACAGGTTAGGATGGCTGGAACTACCTCTTGCTTATTTGAACAGGATAATGACTTGGAGACTCCAATTGTTGCAGAGGATGCATTTGTTATAGGCTTATTAGCAATTTCAGTTCTCTGATCAGGAAACTCAGCTGGAAAATGCTCGAAAATCTTTGTATCAACTTGATTTCTTCCTTTATCATGACCAACAATCAGCGAGAGCAAATCATTTGGCCTACCTGAGGAGTGGTCATCTTCTGTCTTCCTTTCTGCAACAAGATAAGTGATGACAGTCTGAACAGGATAACGGAGCACGAAAAGCAATTTCCTAAAAATTTCCGTACCTTCTTCAACAAACCAACGGGCAAACTTTGACGAATGAACAGATTTTTTGCTCCAAGATTCATCTGGTATATCATCATGATGCTAGGAGAGGGGGAAAAAAGAAGGAAATCATCAATATGATATCTTTCCAGTTCAGCTTGACAATGAGGCATACACTCCCTAGACACAAGCATTTGTAAACTTCGACAAACATGCAATGCAAGAAAAACAAGAACGGTGCCTTGTTTTTTGTTAACAAAACCCACAATCCAGGATATGCACAAAGCAGGGGCATGACCAGAAGTACGTGAGCAAGACAAATTACCTCGACAGAATCTGTAGAGTCATTGCCATTCACTGTTGATGCATTGCCAAAAATCTTTTCCAGAATTGATGTTGCATCAGTCTCACGCAAATCTCCACCAAGTTTGAGTCCTGATGCTTTGGCATTGAGCTTGATCATTTCAGGTTCATCCAGGGCTTCATGGGCCTCTGGAAGGATGGAAGTTTGATGTAGAAAATCTACCATGCCAGTTTTCTTGCTGGAAACATCTGAATTTGATGATGAATTGGCAATTTGTTCACCCTTGTTACTCAACAATGTATGCGTCGTCTTATCTTCAGGCGGTTCATTGCTCAAACTTATTTCTCCTGAAAATTTTCTTTCCAGACTACCAAGAGTGCCATTCTGGACAGAGGAATGAAAAAGGTTTTGACACTGCCAGTTTTTCCAATATGTAGTGACTAGATAGAATATCAAATAAAATGACAGCCTAGAAGTGGTCATTGATAACTAGCAAATGAGACTCGGAATAGGTGCTAATATAGGCTGTTCTGGACAGAGGAATGAAAAAGGTTTTGACCCGGCTAGTTTTTCCAATATGTTGCAACTATAGATAGATTATGAAATAAAATAACAGCCTAGAAGTGATCATTGATAACTAGCAAATGTGACTCAGAATAGGTGCCAATATAGGCCATGCCAAAAGATACAATCAGAAATCCAATGGAGAGTAAACAAACAAAAATGATCGTCCTACTATTTTGTACATATATCCCCAAATATGAACAAAAGTTACATGCTAGATTACAGAAGGCCACTATAAATGCTTAAATATTCTAATACAGCCCCCATAACCTGAAGAATCAGACAACATGCATGAAAAGGACCACATTTGGGGAGAGCATCACATCCAGTTCTTTTCCATTGCTTTCCAGTGACATTCCATATAATCTCACTCTATCTGATCAAAGAAGCCTACTGGAAAAATTCTTGCTGTGACGTATCATTTTATTTGCTTAATATTGACTTTCAACTTAAATACATGGTTAACCATTCTTGTTATGATACTTCATATCACTTTAAGCAAAAGCAGGGAATATAAACTATTTGTTGCAAATGACAAATAT